ATCAGGTCTACTGTAATTTGTATACGCTTCATCAACTAAAATATTTTCTTCAAATCTTTTGTGTTTCATTTTAAGATATTTTATTTTTATTGCATAATCGAAAAACAATGTCTTTCAATTTTAAACAAAAATGTTTAAAAAAAAATATTTTTTTAAAACACGTGAAGCAGATTTGATTATTGTTTTTGTTACGAGTCGTCAATAAAGGCAGGCAAAGGTCTTAAGTAAATACAGTTTTACCTGATTTATATTTTTTCTATTGCGAGGATATAATAAATAAGTGAAATACTAATTTCAATGGTGGAGTTTTAATGTTGAAATAATACAAATGGACTATCGTATCGTATCGACGATCGTAAAAGTTTTAAGAAATAGAAAAGGAAAGTGACTGTTCACATACTAGTGAAATAAGCAGGTCTCTGCATCTCCACAAGCACTCCAGTGTTAGTAAAACATTTACTTTCTTCAAATTGTTGATCGTAAAAAATGTCTTAAAACACTACACAAAAAGTAAAATCTAAATTGCTGATGTGGTATTTCAAGGTATGGAACTTTTTATTCTTTCCTCTGTGGTGCCCATCGAAGGCAGATCTCAGCCATGGTTTAGTCACTCCTGTAAAATAGCATCATACTACAAGCAAGAGTGCTTCTTTTCAGGTACTACTACTCCCTAGGCGTAGTCCCGAAATCATGAAAGACGACTTTTGCTCACCAGATTCCTAAAAAAGGCGACCGCTCAAATCCTTCTAACTAAAGGAGTATCGCCATCACCTCCTTGTTCTCCAAAATAATGGAATCCATTATAAGCTGCCAGCTCATGCGGTACCTTGAGGATCACCAGCCAATTAAGGACCGCCAATAAGGTTTTCGTCGGGGTCAATCAGCTGGTGATCTTCTGGTCTACCTGACGGATGAACGGAGGCAATAGAGTCCAAGAGGAAGGCATTGGCCGTTAGTTTGGACATTTGCGAAGGCCTTCGTTCGGGTTTGGCACAAAGCGCTTCTTTCGAAGCTCCCTTCCTTTTTTTATAGGAGAGGGGGCAAACGAGTATGCGGCTCACATGATGGTAAGTGACTACCGCCGCCCATCAACAACTCCAACACCAGGGGAATTACAAATGCGTTCTCCGCCTTTTAAAAAGTGCCTAAGTCGTATAGATCCGAAAAATTACTGGTGGTAATCGATTGCACAAGGAAGTTGTGCGAGGAAGAAAACATCTTCTAAATCGCACAGTGGTGGACCGCCAATCATCCAGATGGTATGGATGGTATTGCGAGTTTTGTCGCGATGTGTGATAGTAAAACTGAGCGGCTGGAATTAATCCGAACATGGCTCATCTAATGGTAAGTGCTTACGCCGCCCATGAACAACTGCAACACCAGGAGAATTGCAGATGCGTTGCCTTCCTTTTAAAAAGGAGTAGGCTCTTTTCTTGAAGGTCCCTAAGTCGTATCGGTCCGGAAAAATCGCTGTTGGTAATCGATTCCACAGGGAAGTTGTTCGAGGGAGAAAACTTCTTCTAAATCTCACAGAGGTGGACCGCCAATAATCTAGATGATATGGATGGTATCGCGAGTTTTGTGGCGATGTGCGATGGTGAAATTGAACGGCTGGAATTAGTCCGAACAATTCCTCAGAGCACTCCCCGTGATAGATGCGATAAAATACGCAAAGAGATGCAACATTTCTACGCAGTGCCAGTGAGTCAAGCTGATCGGAAAGAACTCGGTCGTCGACGATTCGAACCGCTCTGCGATGGATGCGGTCAAGTGGAAGGAGCTGGCATTGGGGAGCCCCTGCCCAGAGATGGAAACAGTATTCCATGTGAGGCCGAACCTGTGCCTTGTAAAATTACAGGCGGTGTGCCAGCATGCAGTGCAGTGTTAGTATAGAGTGGGATTTTGCCCCTCCCCCTCCCGCAGAATACGCGGGCAGCCTGAGCACCCACACTCACCCACGCTCAGTAAGGGGTAGCTTGACCGTAGATGCTCAGTGAGGGATTCCCCATTACCCCTGGTGCTGGTACCCTCCTGGGGTATTCCTTTCTTTTTAAATTCCGCTACCATGTTATGGGGGTGGGGTTGTTGGGCCCCCGGCCAGCTGCACTAACCAAGCGCAACGCAGAAGCATAGCTTCTACTTTACGTTGGTATTCTGTGAGGTCGTGGTACTGCCTCGGTTCAAGCCGGCCCATCCATGCTACAGCAGAAGCTGTTGCGTGTCTCTACCACTGTTAAACGCCTTCCTATGGGCTTCCCAAGAAATTGTGCAATGGCATCACCACCTTTCTTGCAGATCGGAGTATCAAGGTCGTTGTAGACGATCCATGCTCCGACTACAAGCCTATTAACGCTGGTGTTCCACAAGGCTGCGTGCTATCACCAACGCTGTTTCTTCTGCATATCAATGATATATTGCAAACCGGTAACATTCATTGCTATTCGGGTCGTGCCAATATTTCTCGGGAAACATCGCCGAGTACCGGAACAAACTTGTCCACATCAAAAGTCGAGTCTTTGCTGAACAAAGTCTCGGATTGGGGGCGATTAAATCTAGTCCAGTTTAATCCTCAGAAGACACAAGTTAAAAGGAACCCCTTTTGTCGTATCTCCTCAGTTTCAATGTACTCCCCTTGTTGCCTCAGCCAGTATCGGAATCCTCGGAGTCGACATATCGAGTTGCGTGCAGTTTCGTGGTAATTTGGAAAAGAAGGCCAAATTGGCCTCTAAAAAGCTTGGCGTACCCAGCAGAGCGGGACAGTATTCGGTCAGTAGTTCGGCCTCACATGGAATACTGTTCCCATCTCTGGGTTGGGGCTCCTCAGTGCCAGCTTCTTCCACTTGACCGCATCCAGCGCAGAGCGGCTCGAATCGTGGCCGACTTAGTTCTTTCCGATCGGCTCGATTCGCTGGCGCTGCGAAGAGATTTTGCATCCCTTTGCATTTTCTTTCATATTTACCACGGGGTGTGCTCTGAGGAATTGTTGAGATTAATCCCTGCCGCCACGCACGTCGCGGCAAAACTCCCTATACCATCCACACCATCTGGATGCTAGGTGGTCCACCGCTGTAGGTTTCATTAGGAGTTTTCTTCCGCGTACGACCTCTCTGTGGAATAGCTTACCACCATCGATTTTTCGGGACCTATACGACTTAGGGTCCGTCAGGAAAAGAGCTTACTGTTTTTTAAAAGGCGGGAACGCACCTGCAATTCCCTTAGTATTGCAGTTGTTTATGGGCGGCGGTAGTCACCTACCATCAGATGAGCCGTATGCTCGTTTGCCCCCTCTCCTATAAAAAAAAAATCAGACTTAACTTAGATTATTGTCAAGCCTGTTATTACTATTAGTTATTTACCTGGGATACGACGCAAACCCACACTCACATTAAATCGCTTATAGACTAGGAGATGGTGACAGAAAAAATTCTCCAATTTTCTCCTGCATGCCTTTTTAAGAATTGATAACTAACCCTAAAATATGAAAGATTACGAGGATTACGAGCCCTTGCGCGCTTGCACGTCATAAAGAAAATGGTTTCTCTTTGTGTAAAGAATTTTAAAAAGACATTATTATAATAGACAATGTATTGACCATTTCACATTTGTTTAAGCGTTAGTCAACTTGAGTGGAGTCGCGAGTCAAATCATTAACAAAGATTTCTTCAAGTTTTGTTCGTGAACATAAATGGTTTGCCAAACAGAACCCAATGAGAAAAATGTTATTTATCCTAATAATATATTAGCGTTGCTCCTTTGAAACGCGATGCACTAAAATAACAGAGACTCTTTTGAGAAAACATTTTTGTGTTCATGCAATTTATTGGCTGTATGATTTCTGACTTTGGTCTTAAAAGTGACAAAATTTAAATACAGGTGTGTCCGTAAAGAGAGAATGAATATACTGTACCGTATACTGTTATACTCCCTCTACGGGTGTGTCAACTGTCAATGACAAATGTTATGTCAAAATTGATTGAATATAAAATAAATCTTATTTTAATGCCATAAAATTGGTTTTTGTATGTGTTAAATAGTGGTGGTTAATATATCATATAGCAAAATAAAGCACCGTGCTTTTCATACATAACAAATAGCAAATGCTATCGTGGCTCTCACTTCTTGCTATTTGCTTAATGCTTTTTTACATCGCACTCTCTGTCTCTGTCAGTCGCGCATCACAAAATCGCAAAGCATGAAAGAAAGCAATAGCATCGCGGCGGCCAGTCGTAGCATGCTAGAGATTGCTTTCGGTCGCGTAAGTGAGTAAGTAATCGTTTTACGCACCGCTTGCGATTTTGCTAATCGGCGATCTCGGGCGGCTCACGTAATATAAATATAATATACGTAAATATTATTTTACTTCGTGCTTTTTAGTGTAAATAAACAGTGATAGGATACCTTAATATTTATTAGCTATAATTGTGCAAGTAAGGACAGAGTGAGATATCGTGTTGTTGTTTTGAGTGTAGGTATAATAACAGACGAAAATGTCTAGAAGGAACAGTGATTTGCCAATATGGAACTTTTTTGAAAAGCCCATTGATGGCCGAGGAAAGTTCATTGTTTTTTTACTGTTCCGTATCGTAATAAATTCATAAACGCGATGCACCGCGGTTGCTACCTAAAGTCGCTCCCGCCCGTTTGGCGCCCGTAAAAGTAGGTATCTACTACCTACCTACGCACGGTCGCACGTACGCAGTCGCAGACGTCGCAGTACGCTTATAAAAAGCATGCTTATAATAAAGCATATAAAATAGCTTGCTTAAAATATAAAGCATATAGCATTAAGCAAGTGATTGCTATATAGCAACTTTGAACACTACTAGTGTTAAACTGTCCTCTGTATATATTCACCACTGCTGTAATGTCACTGTCTGAAGTGAAGTCTGCTCAGATTTGGTTTCTGTCATAAAATTACATACTTCTAGGGAGTTGTTTTTTTTAACATTAGAATTGTAAAGTATTACTTAATAAGTCCCATTTTAAATTAAAAATCAACCATGGATGATCAAGGAAGAAAAGTAATCGTCTGCGACAACGGCACTGGTGTAAGTTGATTCGATTTTTATAGGATGCTTTCCTTCAGATAGAAGCGTCGTGATTCATCGTTGAAAAACAATTTCATTTCAGTTCGTTAAGTGTGGATATGCTGGCAGCAATTTCCCTGCTTTTATTTTCCCTTCAATGGTGGGGAGACCTATCATTCGAGCGGAAAACAAGATTGGCGAAATTGACGTAAAGGTCAGAAAAGTTTTTTTTCATACCGGAAACAGAGTTCAGCCTATATATTTATTACATATATGATTTTATTTATATGTCCTAGTTTGTTATATCCATTGTTAAGTCACAATTGAAAAATATATACAACAGAAAATACTTGTAACTTAAGCATTAGATAGTGTGCAGCTGATTACAACCTTTCTAATTTTTACCTTGTAGAGCCATACTGTAGCTACATTATAGATGCAGCATGAATGGGTTGGCTTAACTGAGAAAGGACCACACTTACAGAATACCAGCATAATATAGCAGCATAATGCTCCTGTGTTTTGTATAGTGAGTATGGAAAAAGGGTGATCCATTTTATAGATTGCTAGTGATCTGCCCCAGCTTTGTGAAGTTGATTTCTGGATATCGACAACACCGCCACCTACAGAATCTAATTGTGAATCTAAACCATCAACTTAATCATACAGAAAATTGTATTAAAATTGGTTCAGCTGTTTAGGAGATCAGTCACATACACACGGATAGAAGAATTATATAATATGCATGTATTATTTATCCTCTCAACTGTGGAGACTAAGCCCCCTAACTCCGTTGACTGTGGAGTTGTTTAATAAAATGGAGGACTGGTAGTTAACACAAATTTCTTGATTCTGGTATATCAAATACTATAACATGTATACATTTCTGAATTCTCTATGAAATTTCCTATGAATGGGTACATAAATTTAATAAAGTCCCAAAGTAATTAGTGTAAGTAAATGTTGAGTAAATTCAAAATTGTCATATTTCTCAATGAAACAAAGTTTTTTAGTAGTTCAATTTTGTTTTGTTTTAACCTTAAATCTATTATTTACAATATTTTATGTGCAAAATCGTAGGCTACAATACAATTTTTTATCATAAAACGCTTTAAAAATAATCTTACATGTACCCAACAATCAACTTACATGGATGTAGAATGTATTTCGGACTGGATGCGACATTAATGCATTACTCAATATATATATTAAAAAAAGTAGATTTGCATGATCGTGGAGTCAAACAAAGCTCCGTGTGTCTGCTTGAGGGCGCTAGTTTCTTTACCAATCTAACAATTCATCCGAATTTGAACTTCATGCAGTATGGCAAACTTTAGTTCCCTAAATAGAATACACTACTGCGGGTGTCTCAGAAATGGACACCATTGCATCTATTGCGTATTTACATTGAAATATTGAAAATATTGCACTTTATCCTCATTTTGATGTATTAAAACTGTGAATGATGAACAATTATACATATTTTAACACAAAACTGACAGTAAACACTAAAATTTTACATATATTTCAAGTCTAACTTTCTGCAACCTGCATGTTAGTTCTAAGATAGCAGTTTGCTTCATGCAAATAAAAAAAAAACATTTCACACATACTAAATGAGATAAAACACAAAATGAGGTTACAAATAGGAAGGTTACTTACCCAGGCATTGTTTTAACACAATTCATCACAAAATCAATCAAAATTTGTTCAAAATAATTGCAAACAACTCCGACGTTAGCGCGCGTCAATCACACTGATGGCTGACTCAAGGGACAGGCGAAATCAACAGATGATATTGATAAAAAATCCTACTAAAGTGTGTAAGCTGGGGGGTTTTTATGCTATACTTTTTTATCCTGTACATATCGTAGAATGAGTTAGACATAGTGCATATTTAATGGGGTTTTCATCAATAGACAGAATGATTCAAGAGGAAGGTTTATATATCCTTTCAGCTGCGGATGTCTAACATTTGGACACTTGCAGACAACTGAGATATTTTCGTGACCAAGTGTTAGACATCCCCAGCTGAAAGGATATATAAACCTTCCTCTTGAATCATTCTGTCTATTGATGAAAACCGCATTAAATTCTGTTGTGTAGTTTAAAAGATCTAAGCGTACAGAAGGCGGAAACCGACTTTGTTTTATACTATGTAGAGAAGAGAAGAATCAAAAAGCAATGGTGTCCAGTCAGTTATACATCATGTGGACTGTATGCTTATTTGTCACCCTTATTCTATAAAAATGGATAATTGTGCAAAATCCTTTTTGTGAAATAATATATCATGGATGAAAGCTATTATTTTTCTATATCACACCTTTTAATCTTTTTTTGTCCACTGCTGAACCTGTATCTTTTCTTGCATGCATGAGCTAGTAAGCATTTTTTTTGAGATAAGTTGATCACCAAAGACTAGCAATCAACAGAGTGCACTACTGCCCATGTTATTGTTCTTTCCCATTTCTACTCCTCATTTTATATTAGATATTTATTATATCTATATTTTTCCTATTTTCAGGATTTATGCGTTGGCGTAAGTTACTATGATGTTATTTAAGCATGAATGTGTTTTGACAAATGTTTAGCAATAGACTAATCAATGTATAATATAGAAAGAAATTTAACAAACTGACCAAGAGTCCACCTTTACCCTTCCTATCCCTATTTTATACATGGTACAGCCATGCTGTAGCTATATTATGGTTGCAGCATGAATGGATAGGCCCGACCGGGGTAGGCATCCATGTTAGTATGTATGGAATACTAACAAAATATCATACTGTTGCATTTCGTATGGTGAGTGTAGAGAACCGGAGATCCTTATCTGGAACTGAATCTGAATACTGGAAATCAGATATTCAATCTTAGTCCTCAAGGCTGAAAATGCATCTGCACTTTGGTTCTCAATTGAAGATAGATCTATAATCTAGATGTTTATGGGCCACACCATCCACTTACCATCAGGTGGACTGTGTGTTCATGTGTCACCCATATTCTATAGAAAAACTTGATGGTAAGTGGCTGTTGCAGACTATGTACACACCTGTAACAACTACAGTTCAAATAAGACATTGACTCATTGTCTGTTATTTCTGACTCTGTTAACCTTTAAACTGGAATACAGCTGTGAGAGCACTGCTGCTAGGTGGCAGTTAAAGGTAAGAGAGTGTGGTACCAACCCAGTCAGACTCAAGGGCATAAATGAAGCTAGTGAAATATTTTTGTACACATATTCTGGTCTTGGCTTTAACAGAAATTTTTGTTTGTTTGTTTTTTATGTTTTGTTGTGATATTCTCATTAGCACTATGGACTTTCTAAGTCTTGTTAGATATATTGAATATACTACCACTTTTATGGTTAATGTTTACAACAAATAGTGGTATATTTAATGTTTAAAAGAAATTTTTGTGTATCACTGAGAGTTGCATTTTATATTGTAAAGTAATTTTTGTGTATCACTTAAACATTTTAATAAGGAATAGTGAAACAAATAACAATAAAATTTTGTGTGAAACTTATGTCTGTTGTCTTGTGATACTGTGTAAACTAACAAAACCATAAACAAGTGGTAAAATTAAAAATTTCTACAACCAACTTCAATATAAATAAAATTAGAACATCGTTAATGTAGCCAAAGTTAATTCTCAAATTTGTATGGGACCACATGAGAAGCACCAGCTATCAAATAAAAAAAGAAACATCAAAATCGTTTCACCTACAAAAAAGTTCTGAGGTAACATACATAAAAAAATGCAGTCGAATTGAGACCCTCCTAATTTTTTTGAAGTCAGTTGAAAATGTCACAAAACAATGTGATTTACCATTTCATAATACCACATTTAAAAGGCAAAGTTAAACTAGTGTAACGTTTCATGCATACCAGACGTTTGACCCAGAGATCGTACAGGTAAACTTGAGATCAGGTATGAGCAATATACAGCTGCAGTATGTGCTTACATATTTATTTGCAATCTTAGTACAGCTGAGCAATAAATTTAGAAATACCTATGTAGAACACTATGCAGCAAAATGATTAGGAAACCTTGTATATGGCATGAGGACCTAACACATAAGTGGATTCTACGTTTTATGTGACACAGCTAAATTATTCTGGAGTTTTGTAGATATCAACAATTTTTATTAATTTTAAAAAAAATCTTAATTTATTTGTTTTTTTTTAAGTAAAACATTTTGAATTTTTTAATAACGTATTTTAATAGATTGTATGCACACATCAATTCTGTAAACACCACAATTAGATATGTGATTGATTCGTCTTACATACTGGGTCATTAGGGTCCATCATTCAAATGGATCATTTCGAGTTTCAGTACTCTGTGAGATCCGCTCGAAAATGTCGGTCGTCGCGTGTGATATTACTATACTCTGGTCGTAGGTGCTGTCAATAGTTTGATCCGTAACATTAAAAAAATGTAATTGCAATCACAAATTTTTTGCGACCTGAGTCAAATGAACGAATCATTCACGATTGACACATTTCTAACCACAATACATAGTCCTAAAACATTTTAAGTTGTGTAGTCTTAGATTTCATACGAGCTTAGGCTCATTTCAAAGATTTGTTACCTTGAAAGTAAGCATATAATTAACCTTGAAACTATTTTATTCTTTGAGTTTAATGGCATCAAATTCTATAAAAACTTAGGTCACTTAGCGTTACCGAAACTACACTAATCACACTTCTTTTAAAACAAATAAAAAATATAAGATTTCACTTAGGTTTGTTTGGTTTGTTATTATGATTAAAAACTGCAAAATTATAGTAGTAAATTTATTTTTGATTTTACCTTTGGTTTAAACAATGTATGTATATATTGTATATGACATTACTAACTATTAATATTAATATTGAAGTATTTTGTATTATTTTCTTTAAACATTTTTTCAGGATTTAATGGTGGGAGATGAGGCATCACAGTTAAGGTCAATGCTTGAAGTGAGCTATCCTATGGAGAATGGGGTAAGGAAACATTTTTACTATGTAAAATCTTTGAATTGTCTATTCAAATTTAAATATACAGTTAAAATACTACTCTAGTGAAGAAATTTTTACCCGTGTTTAGGGTGCCCTACCCAAAAAGTAACCAACGGGACCCTATTACTAAGACTCTGCTGTCCGTCTGTCTGTCTGTGCTGTCTCTCATAATCCCTAATAGGTAGACAGTTGAAATTTTCACAGAATGTGTATTTCTGTTGCCGCTATTACAACAAAAGCCTACTCACTCTCACACTTCACACTCTCACACCTATTTCTCATTCTCATTTAATTTCGATGTTACCTTAATAGTGTCTAAAATATCTTGCGGCTTCTGGAAGATTGAATCATCTTATGAATTGTCAAACCTGGCTACCATCTGCCAAGTGTAATGTGTTATTAAAAACTATCCAACTACTGATGTTAAAAATAAATTCAAAGGTTATTTTTAAAAGAATATAATGTGAGGGCAAATATGCAACTTGTTCTCTTGCTTACGAAATTAATGATTTCATTATCAGCTATAAAACAGCATAAAATCAGGGATAAAGTATAGCCTGGCATTGCTTCCTATCTGTTCGTAAAGTTTCGTTATTTTAAAGATTAGCCCAGACAGACAGACAGACAAAATATTTACTTAATTTAATTGGTTTAACTTTAATTGGTTTATCATGTTTTAATGGCATGCAAATAAGCTCTCTGAGCTTTATAAAAGGCAGTTATTTCGATTTTACAGACAGATACTTCAACTTTATTTATATGTATAGATTTTATTATCTATTTTCAAGTGTTCTTTTTTTTTCAATAATAGAGATTTGGTAATCAAATAAATATAACTTTTATTATAGGTGGTCCGTAACTGGGAGGACATGTGCCACGTTTGGGACTACACTTTTGGTCCCAGCAAGATGAATATTGACCCGCATGAGACCAAGATTCTTCTAACCGAGCCTCCCATGAATCCTACTAAAAACAGAGAGAAAATGATTGAGGTCTGTAATATATTTAATTTTTTATTTTCATTCAACTCGGCTGGGCAGCGCTCGGGAAACTACGACACATCTTCTCGTCAGACATTCCTCAAAACCTTAAAACGAAATTATACAACCAGTGCGTGTTGCCAGTGATGACTTATGATCTGAGATGTGGTCCTTCACTGCTGGTCGTATGAGAAAGCTTAAGGTCGCTCAGCGAGCTATGGAGAGCGCTATGCTCGGAGTTTCTCTGCGTGATAAACTTAGAAATGAGGATATCCACAGTAGAACCAGAGTGACCGACATAGCCAAAAGGATTAGTAAGCTAAAGTGGCCGTGGGCCGGCCACATAGCTCGAAGAACCGACAATCGATGGGGAAGAAAGGTTCTTGCGTGGCAGCCTCGTACCGGTAGGCGAAGTGTAGGGTGATCCCCCACGAGTGACGACCTGGAAAGACATGCAGGAAGTGGATGGATGCAGGTGTCTCAGGACCGTGCTTTGTGGTATTCCTTGGGGGAGGTCTATGTTCGGCAGTGGACTTATGAAAAGCTGTAATGATGATGATGATGATATTTTTTATACAAAAATAAGTAAAATAAGTAGGTACCTATTAAAAAAACTTGGTTACTAGTTACTTTCCTCACGATTAAAAAAAACAACAATTATTAAATTTGAATTAGACAAATTTGGTATACTATACAATCTACAATTTGTGATATCTGGAAACAGCAAAGTATATGAGTGTGACTCCAGTTGAGCCGATGATCTGGTTCTTTATAAAACAAATTTATAATCAATATTGTGCTTGGTGTTGTATTTACGATATTACGCGATACATTGAACAATACTAATGTGGTCATCATTAAAAGAAATCTATTAAAATTATTTATTGTTTGCAGGTGATGTTTGAAAAATATGGTTTCGACAGCGCTTACATAGCCATACAAGCAGTCTTAACATTGTATGCTCAGGGTCTTATATCCGGAGTTGTTGTTGATTCAGGTAAGCTGATTGATTAGTATGCTAAGTTTATACGACACTTGAGCCTTTGACGTTGTTGCCTATCGCCGGCCTTAATATTTTAAGTTTAGCGTACATGAGATGGTTATAAATAGACTTGCTATGAATAGTATATTCAGCCAAATGCCGAATACCGGATAATCTGCGGGCTTCCTGGCTGAATAGCCGGATATTAGGCAAAGTATTCGGCCGGGAAGGAAGCAGTGTTTATTCTTCAGAAGCTGGGATTGTTTATGAGAAGAAAACGAGTAACCTACTGCCTGAAAATGAAGAAAAATTAGTCTTTATGCACCATTATCTTCCACTTTAATTATGATAATTCGACATTTATCCGAGTCTTTTTTTAACTTTTATAATATGGAAGTTGATAATGTACTTAATGAAGTTAATGATAACAAGAAAAAACATTATTATAAAGTAAATAAATATTTTCATTTTACCAATTATCTGATTACAATAAAACCTCTAATTTAAGTATTCTGTATTCGGTCGAATAGTACCTATAATAGAGCCATCTGTTGGAAGATACAAGATTTTTCTGGAATCTGAATCGCCTTTTATGACACTTACAGAACGAAATGGAGTGATGTCTTCTTTTGTTCAAACAATGTTGGCCAAGATGGGTCTTCCTAATGTTGATGCGTAAGATTACGAGTATATAAAAAGATCCCAATGTTACGAACTGCGTATATTTTATATTCTATTGTAGTTTAAAAACTGTCATGTTAATAATTTTATATGTTCAACTTTATTTTACTTGTTAATAAGTGCGTAAATTTTTGATCCTGAATTACATTTTTAAACTTATTATTATGGTTAAACATTTTAGGGGATGGAGTTACTCATATATGCCCCGTGTACGAAGAATTCGCTTTACCTCACTTAACTAGGCGTTTAGATATTGCTGGGAGGGATATTACTAGATATCTTATTAAGGTTTGTCTTTATTTATACTTGTTAAAAAATAGTACCATTCAAAGTGTTATATTTTTTTATAAAAACGAGGATGACGATCAGTTCAAGTAAGTTACTTTAGTGACAGCTCCATCTATCGTCTATTAAGAATGAAAATGCAGATATCACCTATGTGGACTAATATGGATTGCCAGTAACAATCTGGTTATAGCTTATTTTACCAGTAAAAGGTGAACTTCGTGAAAGCCGGTTTCTAAAAACTAAAAAGAATAAAAAAAGTGTGTGTGTGTGTGTTACGAACGATTATTTTTTATATAAAATAGTATAGCCGAGAGTACTCTGTGCGGGGGGCTGCGCAAGATAAGTTGCGCACGACATTACGTAGTCATGGAAACATAAATTCATAACGTAACGCATGACGTAACGTTTGATTTTACACCTCATAAATGTTCATACCCCGGGCCTATATATGAAAATCGATTCATAAGGAGTAAACTCCAAAATCCATATAGCAGCTCCTGAAGTAGGGGACAGGTAGTAGGTTAATTTTACTACGAGCGGAGGTCAAAAAGTACGCGGAGTGACAGGGAAGAATAATGAAATGAAACATTAAACTATTTTTACTTTTCAATGTATTTTCCCTAAACCCTAACACATTTATTAGATCTGTCAAATAACTTATTAATACCGTCTAAAAAAAGATGTGTCTTGGGCGTCTACATAGGCCGAAATTGCCGACTTCACTTCGTCATCGTCGCCAATTTTTTTCCCACGCAGTTCTTTCCTCATTTTTGGTAACAAATAATAGTCGTTTGGGGCCAGGTCTTGGCTGTAAGGTGGGTGACGCAGTTGCTCAGAACTGCACCGGTGAATAACAGCCGTCGCAACATGGCTTGTGGGCACGGGCGCATTGTCGTGCAAAAGGAGCACGTCCTTTGTAAGCTTTCCTCGCCTTTTTTCTTTTTAATAGCTTCTTTTAAATGATCTAGTAAAGAAGCGTAGTATTCTCCTGATATGCAAACAACACGTTCCTTATAATAAATCAAAAGGATACCTTCTGTATACCAAAAGATCGTCGCCATGATCTTTCCGGCCGATTGAGTCACCTTATAGTTCTTAGGAGGCGGTGTGCCTTTTTTATGCCACTGCATCGACTCTTGCTTTGACTTAGGTTTATAATGGTGAACCCAAGTTCCATAGTCAGTTACAATTCGGGTCATAACTTCCTCCCTTTGCTCTGCACAGCGGTCCAAAAACTCGCGACAAATCTTGACGCGCTCGTGTTTTTGATGCGCAGAAAGCATTCTCGCCCATCGCCTCTAACCCATCTTGCACAGACTTTAGTCATGCCAAGGTGTTGATGTAGGATGTTTAAAATGGTTGTTTCTGATACTCTCAACTAATGTTGCAAGCTGTTTTTTCTTTATCCGGGCATCTTCCCATACAAGTTTTTCAACTTTTTCGATTATTTCTGGCGTGGTAGCCTCAATCCGCCGTCCAGGTCGGGGTTCGTCTTCAATGGAGTCACTCCCTTGTTTAAAAAGGTAAACAGCTGACATCTCTTGAAAAATGGTATGAGGTGTCTTTCCTTGTTTGGTGAGAAACTTAAGGACGGGGCGATATTAAATTTTCTCCATAATGGCTAGTTTCTTCCCGATCGACTTGTTTACTCATTGATAACTCAAAAGCTAATGACCCGATTAGACTGAAACTTGGTTAATTTACTAACAACGAGTCACTCAACTAGCGCCTACCTGGATGAGTAAACTCACCCGCGCCAACGCCGCCATTTTGAGAACTTTTTGACCTCCCCTCATATATAGGTAATCTATATGCTTTTTTTTATATTATATTTAGTTAATTTAAGCTGGATTTTAATTTTAAAAATTAAATTGTAAGTCTATACAATTTTTAAGAAATAATTGACAGTAGTGACAGACAGACTACAATGCACAAATAAATCATTATAGTTTTGAATATGATAATTAATTTTTCCAGCTACTTCTACTCCGCGGCTATGCTTTCAACCATTCTGCGGACTTCGAAACAGTTCGTATGATGAAAGAAAAGCTATGCTATATCGGATATAACATTGAGCAGGAGCAACGTCTCGCTTGGGAGACCACTGTCTTAGTTGAACCTTATGTCGTAAGTAATAAATGTTATTTTTGAGTGACTAAATTGTCAGTCTTTTTCAATTAATCAATGTCGGAACCACGTATCCTTTGAGTATTAGCTAAACCCTATTAAGTAAACAATAAGTGTTATTTTAGTAATGAGGATTGTAAACTATAGGCTCTTTTAAATATTCAGTTTTTAAGCAGGATCAGTGTCTCGCTTGGGTACTATGTTAGTTGAACTCATTTTTGTCATTACCCATAGACCCCTCTTTCGACACCTATAGAACGAAATGAGATGATGAATACTCTCATTCGATTAACACTTGGTCTAGTGGTTGTAGTAGTGCGACTGCTGATCATGAGGCTCCAGGTTCGAATCCCAGGTCGGGACAAAAAATCTGTTATTGAGCTTTTCCATCAAGAAATTCTCAGTAGCTGCCCGGAGTCAGGAAGTTGGCGGTGCCTCAGCCCCGTGCCTCGGAAAGCTGCACGTAAAGCCATTGGTCTTGGGCCTGATATCTCTCCGATCTTGTCGGTTTACTGTCTCATCGGACAGTGAGAGTGAAGGAATAGAGAGTGCACCTGTGCTTGCGCATACACTCGGGCACTATAAGCCTGTCCTGCGCCGATGGCTAGCTTCCGTTGAGGCTGGCCGCCGTGACCGAAATTCGGTCTGGAGGACATTATTACTTAGGTTTTTTTTTAAATAGTCAATACCTTAGCAGGGCAGTGTGTTTTATAGTACAATATATCATAAATAACCAGTATTACTTTTGAATGCAGCAAAATTATTATTTGTTTTTATAAAATTTTGATTGTTGAATCTTGTGTCGAATATAATAAAAGCTATTTTTGAATGTTTATGTTTATTCAGAACTTTATGTATTAAAATAAAAGTGGATTATTTTATATAAGTAATGTAATTTTATACAACCCATTAGATGGAGTGACGACGTGATAAGAGATGCAGGAAGTCGATTGATGTAGATGGCATATGGGAGGCCTATTGTCAGCAGTGGACTCCGGAAGGGCTGTAATAATGATAATGATTTGTAACACCCGACTGAAAACAGAGGGGTGTTATATGTTTGTATTATGTATCTGTGTATGTGTGTCTGTCTGTGGCATCGTACCTCTTGAACGGATGAAACGATTTTGATTTAAAAAAAAATCGTTTGAACGGTGTCATAATCGAGAGTGCTCCTAGCTATGTTTCAAGAAAATCTGTTCAACCGTTTGAAGATCATCAGCTCTTTTTGTTTCGGAGGTTCTTAAAATTTTAAATTTAAATTATCATTCATTAATTACAGCCCATAAATTTCCCGCCACTACACGATGCATTACCATTGTTTGTTAGTTATTATACGAATTTTAGTTTTTTTTACGTCGTTTATAACCGACTTCGAAAAGGTGGAGTTTCTCAATTCGAGTGTATGTTTTTTTTTTGTATGTATGTTACGCGATATCTTCGTAAATTGTGAACCAATTTTGATGATTCTTCTTTTATTAAATAGGATATATTTCAAGGAAGGTCCCGTATAAATTTATAAAAAATAACTTCAAATAAATTTATAATTATTTACGTTTGTTATTTAATCTATGCAGCATTTTCCATACTTATTGTTTCATAGTTACCCGATGGTCGAGTGATCAAAGTCGGCGGCGAGAGATTCGAAGCGCCCGAGGCTCTATTCCAGCCGCATTTGATCAACGTGGAGGGTCAAGGCATAGCTGAGCTGGTCTTTAATACTATTCAGGTAATTAATATTTATTTTCACACTAATATTATATATACATATATATATATATATATATATATATATATATATATATATATATACCAATTACATATAATATATATTTATATTTTAATTACGAAATTTCTGGTCTAGGCAGCTGATATAGACATGAGGAACGAACTTTATAAACATATAGTGCTCTCCGGAGGCTCCACTATGTATCCAGGGCTTCCTTCTCGGCTGGAACGAGAGATAAAGCAACTGTACCTGGAACGGGTGCTCAAGAATGACTGTGATAAACTGGCGGTGAGTTGGATATACAAAGTGATTCAATTTTTAGAAAGTAATTATTAAAGTATATAGCTTAGTAAAATAATGAATATTTCTTCTTTTTTTTTTTCGGCTATACCTCGACGGTAGTCGTCCCATTTAAAGTTTAAGAAAATATTTCCCTAAAGGAAGACCCTTAAGTGTGGTAAAAGGGGAATAAAGTTTTTATGAAGGTAGCTGTTTAGACGACATTTTAGTTGTTTAGGAAGGCTCCGTGGCGCAGTGGCTTAGCAATGAGTTGCAGCGCTCAGGCCCGCGGGTTCGAATCCCGCCCATAACTTGTATTTGTATGGCCTACAAATAATTTTTACAGGTCTGGATGTTTGTCCTCGTGAAATTTATGTATGTAAATTACCTCTATGATACTTGAGAAATTCCTAGGGAAAACTTTTTTTTTAAACAAAAAGAAATAAGAATACAATAATTCACCACATAATAACTTCTTAACTTTGCTGTCAGCTTTCCTTTTTTTTAGTAAAAGTTGAATTGTTTTGTTATTGGTCGTTTAACAGAAATTCAAAATCCGCATCGAAGATCCGCCGAGGCGCAAGGACATGGTGTTCATAGGCGGTGCGGTTTTGGCTGAAGTGTGCAAGAACAGAGACAATTTCTGGCTCTCTAGAGCTGAATACCAGGAGCAGGTAATGTAGAATTTTTTACGTGGTAGAGCCATGCTGCAGCTATATTAGTTGTATAGTTGTAGCACGAATGGGTCAGCTCGACCGGGGAAGGATCACGCTCTCACAGAATACCAGCGTAAAATAGCAGCTTAACAGTGCTGTGTTTCGTACGGTGAGTGTAGAGAATCGGAGACCCTTTTTACTGGAAAAGAGGCATTCCATCTTAGTCCTCACGAGTGACAACGCATCTGCATTTTAATTCGCAAACGGGGATAGATGTAGATGTCTATGAGTCACAGCAACAATTTACCATCAGGTGGACTGTGTGCTCCTTTGTCACCCTATCCTATAAAAAAAATATATAACCTTTTTAATAGAATTTGGAGAGGGCTATGCTATGACCGACCACAAGGAAGAGTTTCTATAATATTGTCATGTTTGATTTCATCAACGGTTCCTTCTTTTTTACAGCCTGTAACAGTTCATTGCTGGTCGTGGCCATGTTACGTTTTAGCGAGAATTCGCCGTAATCGCCATACTTGACAGCCATATTGACGATTGCAGCATCAAAAGTCTCGCACCGTTCACGCAGCTTCCGTCCGTCGATCTTGACACTTTAACATTTGGTATTAGATTAGATGTATATACAGATATCTATTGAAATAGGGTGATGGACAATCAAAATTCAAGCGACAGCAGATTAATGGTACAGGATACAGTGAGCCGGAGACCGTTTTTACTGGTAACGTGGCATTCCATTTTAGTCCTCAGGGGTGACAACGCATCTGCATTTTGATTCTTAATCGAGGAAAACTGTAGATGTCAGTGGGTCACAGCATACATTTACCTTCAGGTGGAATGTGTGCTCGTTTTGTTACCTTTATTCTATAAAAATCAGGCCGAACCATTCGTTCTGCGACCATAATATAGCTCAGCGTGGCTCTACTAGGTATAAAAATGATATAAAGTTATATTTTTTGTTTCAGGGTATATCATGCTTGAGAAAACTGGGCCCGCGAGCGAGTTAATTAGTTATGTATTGTAATAAATCCGAGTCCTTAATTCCAAATATATTAAGTATTAAGTTACAGTCTAATCCAATATTATACGTGAATACAATAGATTATGAAATAGGAATGATGAAATAAAATTCCACAAAAAAAGATAATGGAGAGACCTTTTTGGAATTTAATGCTAATTGTATATTATATCTTCCACTTTTTATTTCTGTATCATATAGGTAAACATTTTACAATGATTTCTAAAGATTTTTGATCTGTAAAAATATGGCGTTTTATATTATTAACCTCTCAGGCCTCGACATTGTATTGGACCAACTTAGTCAGACCTATGATCAGGTCAAGGACAATATTTTATTTATAGAAAGGTAAATGTAACGTCGCGTCATTTTGCCAATTAATTTCACTATTTATTTATCCAAAAAAATTGTGTTTTTTACATAATAACTCACACTTTATATTTCATTTTCAGTTACTTTTGACTACTTTATTTCATACTTGAATAACACAGTATTTGAAATGCAAATTATATAAAGTGTATAAAATTGTTCCGAGAGAAAATATAAGCAAATAACTTTTAAAAAACCGTGTAGTTACATGCCTTTTATATAAAAAAACTAACAGCAAACTTTCTTTTATACCCACTTAATTTTTTAGAGTTTGTAGTTGTCAATATGAAGTAAACGCGACGCTTTGGAAAAGGCGGAAACTCGTCATTTGAAGTAAATTATTTTAATTTAGAGAAGCGTACTTTAGTAACAGAAACTAATTCTAATTACATTTTTGGAGTTTTAGTTATAATTTTTATAAATAACATTTAAAAAAGAATTGTTCTGAGCACTCTTATCTATGGTTCTGAGTAAACGTAGTGATTATATATACTCTTTGGTTCTGAGGGTCCCTTGTAAGTATTACTATACACTTTGGAGGGGTCAACAAATTTGTCATCTTGCAATCCGACGTGGGAATTTTGGCGGAAACTTGATCGGCGGCGGTTTGCTGCTCCTGTATTATAGTTTAAATAATAGTTTGAAGTGGATTTTGATATGTAAAAGTGGTGCGATTTTATGTATTAACTGTCTACACATGTGAACTATTAGTTGAAACGGTGAAACAAGTGCTCTGATGGTGATGGATTCTCAAGATAAGCTGTTTGTTTGCATAGGCGCCTTTAGATACCATCGCCAACTGTCAGCTGCCTGCTGGCTCAAGTTGCCGTCAAAATCTCCCAAGGGCTGCACAATGTGATGCATCAACATATTGTGAAGCAGTGAACTATGAAGGATAATTATACATAAAGACAAGACTGTATGGCATAGTTCCTTTGCCTGCTCTCTTGAGCGAATAATAAAAACAACAAACAACAACAGCAATCCGACGTTTACCTGATAATCCACAGATATTTAATTTTTCTTTCTTGTATAGCTATCAATTACTTATACTTGAAAACATCCATAATCTACTGAACCCAATTCTGGATACAAATCTTCCAAGGAATAGCCAAATAATGTATTTCCCAAAACATTTGGTATTATTTATGAATTTACCACCTTTATTAAATATGATGTACAGACGGTTTATATTGTATTATTAATTATTAATCAAAGTAGTCTCAGACTGATGTTTCAATCAGGACGATTATTATTGTGTAAATCCGTTATCTCTTATTAATTCGGACGCAAGTGAAAACTCATCGATTTGTTGTCGTAAGATATGCAATAAATAATTTATGCATCGAATTTAACTAAACTCTGTTTTATAAATAGGTAATTTAAATCTAGATTGGGACGCAAGACTAAGAATATTGATCGTGTCGTGTGTGTGACTGGTCTAGCCACAATTTCTTTTGTTGCTCGAGATTGTCTCTGAATGTGATCTTAGAGATAATGAGACGCCTGAAAATCAAGTTAGTATTTTATTTATATAAATATGTACTCTTATCGACGTGATATTTTAAGATTTTTTAAATCTTTCTAATATTTAATTCCTTTTTAAATACATTCTTTTTTTTATTATGATTCGTTTGCAAGAAAGAAGTGGTTACTATGTTTTTTAAGTGTCACTCGATCTGTATTGCACGATTGAATACAAATACGTTAATGAAAAAAAAATTCTTCTATATTTAAACTTTAATGTATGTATGTATATACTTATACTTAGTCAATTTACGGTCAGTCTACTTATTAATAATATTACTTTCCCGTTTTTATTACGGATCCTTAAAAAAGACTCCTTTAATTTATTTGTGCACTTAATTTTTGCATTATCTTATAACTAATTATTTATTAACTTCGTGTAATTACTAATTATATATTAACTAATTCACACGTTGATGTATTACAAAATTGTTTGTCCGGATTTAATTTTTATTACTTGAATTATTTCATTATATTTTTGATTTATGTATTGTTTGCATTATGTGTAATATAAACATATTAAGTTAATGTACTAAAATGGATTCTTACCAAGTGATTTACATGGGTGAATTATTACGGTATACATTATTCACTACACTATATTCAAAACAAATGTACTAAATTGATACCTTAATTACAGACATAGGAAACGTTAACTATCAAAACTAATAAACAGAACTTTGGCGTTCTGTACCTTTTATTTAATTCTTTATTTAAAAGAAGTTTTGGCGGGAACTTGACCGGCGGTGAATTGCTGCTCATGTATTATTGTTTAAATAATGATTTGAAGTGGATATTGATATGTAAAAGTGGTGCGATTTTGTGTATTAAATATCTGTGCATGCGCATGAACTATTAGTGGTAACTGTGAAACAAGCCGAAGGTGATGTGAATCTCAAGATAAGGTTTCTGTCTACTTAGGCGCCTTAAGATACTATCGCCAACTGACTGCTGGCTCAAGTTACCGTCAAAATCTTCCAAAGGCTACGCAATATGACGCATCAACATATTGTAAAGCAGTGTATAAGCAGCGGCACAAAAATCTAGCGTTCACCGTTACTGCGCATAAGTCGCGCTGATTGGCTCGTGCCTATCGTTCACACGCGCTGATTGGCTCTCCAGTCGCATTCGTGCAAATTAATTCATGCGCGTCCCCTCCACGTTTCATTCAGCGCTAGACTTACGTGCTGCGACTAGTACTATAAAGAATTATTATCACTTGATACCGAAATGAATGAGGACATGGCTTAAAAGACAAGCATCCAAGCCAGAAATCTTAATGAAAAAAAATTTTATTTAAAAAATGACTTACAAGATTTGATAACAAATATTTCTTTTTACAATTAAGGCGAGTGTCGTTGATTATTAGATGTTCCTTTTCTTGTTGTCTTTGAAAAGTTGATAATATATTCTACTTAACCGAATTGTTGCGTTATTAGTGTTGATGACATTGGGGGCTAATAAACTTCCGCTCACCAGATGTCGCCAGCTGGGATTGAGGTGAACTTATTTTTTACACAATTTCATAATAATTGATAAGTTGATTTTTCAATAAAAGTTTATTGGTTTGTAGAATATGTAAATAGTAAGTGCACAAAATAGTAGCACAATGGTTTTTTTGCACATTTTTTTATTATCATTTAAATTTTTCTACTTTTAGGATCTATCCTTAGTTTGGTTTATTCATTTATTATCTAATCTAATCACAGAATACAACATTTTTCTAACAAAAAAATTATTTCCTCCGACATGAAATTTGCCAAATATTTACCTCATTTATGGCGCCGCCCTGACAGCAGAAAAAAGATTGATGGCCCTTATTGTTTTATGTCAGCCATTACGATGTGGAGCACGCGATCGTTTGATAGATTTTGAGTATGTACTTACAACTGACAATAGAATCCACCTTGGGTAGGTACTTTCACTATCTTATAAAATTTTCCTAGTAGTTCCAGTTATTTTTGATTCTGCGATGGCAAATGAAGAAAATTTTCGTTCATATAATTGAATATCATATGTAAGAAATCCTCCCATATAGTAGATTTTTGATTACATTTTTAATTATTTAAGTAAAGTTGATTCCTTACGGAGATTATTAAATGTATTATTATAAAAGACTGTTCTCTATTGCATTTATCGATTGCAATAAAAATAAACTGTAAAGTAATGGAATCAGTTTTTAATGTATATTCAGTTGATTGATTTTTAATAAATGAAAAATATATTTTTGTGTTTTATTTATAACTAGCTGTGCCCGCGGCGTAGCTCGCGAATATAGGTTTTACTTAAAGAATTTGACGTTTAGGGTAAGAGAATATTAACCGATTTATATCATTACTCTATGAATAAGTGGTAACAAAATAAATCGATATTCTCAAAGTTCTAAGTCGTTTATGATAGAGCTTCTGTGTAAACGACGATAGAGTAGACTTAGCCGGGGCGTACAGAAAAAGGTTACGGGGACTACTAACGCGAGAAAAAGCAATATAGAGCTGGCCATGTGCAAAACAATCAGTATTGACGCGTAAAGTTTGACTTTGCGCTTTATTTACGATCGTCGCATAACACACGCTGAGTGGGAAACACACTAACACACTTAAAATAGGGATGTTAGATGATCATCGATGTTAAAAATTAAAACTTCGATGTTTTAACATCGATGTTGACATATGTCAAACATCGAAACATCGACGTCAATGAACCCATAATCGATAATTGGGAACTTGCAAACAATGCGAACTCGCGAAATCAATATCAACTAAATCTTGCATCTGCTCTGAAGATTAAAAATTTTGAATAATTCAGAATTTCTGAACGCATCGTTAATCTAAAAAAATGTCAGTATGGTGAGTCAAACTTAATTGTCAAGTGTCTCCTGTAATGTCACAATGGTCACTGCTTTCGCTTTATTTTGTAGTGTCGTTGTCGGTTGTCGCATAATAACTATTCTACATAAATTGATATTCAAGTTAATTGTTACTTTTCCCTTGCTGTGTATACCCACATAATTTTAAAACAATGTGTAAGTATCTACACATATACAAAAACCATCGATAATGGTCAACATCGATGTTTTGAGTAGCCTAAACATCGAACATCGATGTTGAGCTAGCGATGCCAACATCGATGTTATTATCCCTATCTTAAAACTGAAGCCTGAGCCGTGGTAGCTCAGATGGTTAGCGCTCGCTGTAAGCTTCACAGTACTCGAGCAACCCGGGTTCGATCCCCGCCGGCACCAATGAAATTGTTAATTGCAATTTTAAGTGCTGATTTACCACGTGCTCGGCGGTGAAGGAAAACATCGTGAGGAAACCTGCATGTTTGAGAAATAAAAAAAATATTTCGATGACATGTGAAGTTCGCCAACACGTATTGGGGCAGCGCGGTGGACATTTCCTTGCCCTAAAACCCTCTCAGAAATGAGAGGAGGCCTGTGCCCAGCAGTGGGACGTAAATAGGCTGCAACTTTACTTTACTTAAGACTGAAAAAAAGTTATTTGGTATTAGAGGGATTCTGGGTATAAAACAATATCACTATCACGACATTTATTGCAATTTTGCTACTTTTAGTCGAGTTTTGTTGAATGATTAAATATTTTAATACCTCTGTATATATACCTTACAGGCTTGCAGCTTCGTCGGACCCATGGACATAAATTATTACAGTGAGTCTCAATACGATTCACCTGCGAAAAATCTTAACACCGCAATTCAGAAAAGGTTGTAATTTGTACAACGCCATCTATTACGTTCTTTGTGAGAAAACATCCTTTTTTAATTTAAGGAAAACATATTTTTACTGTGTTTTAAGTACTATAATAGAACGATACGAAATATATTATAATAGAACGTTTTTTTTACACACGAATCTTTTTATTACTATTTCTGGGATTTTGTGGCGCCATTAAACAAATTCGAACCTACATTTCAAAATAATAATCATGACTTTCGATAGAATTAACCAATTTCAATAAAACAAAGATTAAATGAACTTGATAATACGCTTTATGATTTTCTTAAAGATTTCATTGAAAAAAAAGATGTTTACTCAAAACGTCATGCGTCCATAAACAAACAGACAGACCGTCAGATCAATTCTAAAAATTATAAAAATGTACTTATTTAATGATTTACAGTCCCCATAATGATTTTAGTCGCAAATTAATATACTATACAATATTCAGAAACAGACATAACATGTTATTACCATTTTTATTATATGTATAGATTTAAGAGAGATGGCGCTGTTAACATCAATTCTAAAAATAAGAGATTAATTCACACGATTGATACAATAAAAAACATAAAAGAACTTATAAATCAGTGCCTGCATAGTAAGCAAAAAAGAAAGTTTGATCCTCGCCGAAAAACGAAATTGTTAATAGCTCTTAAAATTTGATTTACCACATAGAGTAAGTACTCGGCGGTAAAAAAATAAAAAATAAATGAGATTGTCAACACGCAGTAGGGCAGCGTGTCATTAATATAAAAGTTAGAAGCAAATATGAAACTCAACTACAGGAATAAATTTTAACCTGCCTTTTTGTATCACATTTATGCCACACCACCATCTATCGATGAAATTGGTTAACTATTGTACTTTAATTTAGTTTAGATAATAAGGTTAATATATTTTGTATATATTTATTACGTTCTTTATGTAATACTTTTGTTTACTGCGTTTTAGATATAATTATATCATTATAGAACATTATTTTACATCATTTAATTATGATTTATAATATGATATTAATTTTAAAATGTACTTGATGACTCATCCAACGCCACTATTGAACAAATTCGTACCTATACTTAGTACCCATACTTCAGAATATTTGTCATAACTTTTGATGGAATTAACCAATTTTAATGAAATAAAGACTAAATGTAACCTGAATATACACTTAATAATTTCCTTAACTATTCTTATGATATAAATTAGTACTTTATACGTGATACGTTAACAAACAAACAGACAGACAGACAGACAGACAGACAGACAGAAAAATCTAAAAATGGTAGAAATGTATTTAATTACTTATTTTTAGTACCTCTCAATCACTTTTATTACAAAAATATAAAATGTACAGACATCTGCTATTTACATTTTTATTATATGTATAGATAGTATTATCACATATCGTATCTTACAAAATATATTCGGTCTTCAGCCACCTACATCTATCGACTTCCTGCATCTCTTACCATGTCTTCACTATATCTAGCGGGGGACCAACCTCTTTGCTTACCCATATGTTATCACATATGTAACAATAAAACCAATTTCAAGGATTTTATCGCGTTTAATTTGAACCTTTTTTTTCCCTGGCGTTTCGAGTGCAATAGAGTTAAAATTCACTCCGCCAGTCACCATGGGAGCTGACAAGCACACGAAACTAGAAAAAAACAAGGAAACAAATTCTTGATTTAGTAAAAAAGTGGAAGTTCTGCAAGAGGACATACTCTTTTTGATGGTAAGAGCCAATAGTATTATCACATATCGTATCTTACAAAATATATTCGGTCTTCAGCCACCTACATCTATCGACTTCCTGCATCTCTTACCATGTCTTCACTATATCTAGCGGGGGACCAACCTCTTTGCTTACCGATATGTTATCACATATGTAACAATAAAACCAATTTCAAGGATTTTATCGCGTTTAATTTGAACCTTTTTTTTCCCTGGCGTTTCGAGTGCAATAGAGTTAAAATTCACTCCGCCAGTCACCATGGGAGCTGACAAGCACACGAAACTAGAAAAAAACAAGTAAACAAATTCTTGATTTAGTAAAAAAGTGGAAGTTCTGCAAGAGGACATACTCTTTTTGATGGTAAGAGCCAATAGTATTATCACATATCGTATCTTACAAAATATATTAGGTCTTCAGCCACCTACATCTATCGACTTCCTGCATCTCTTACCATGTCTTCACTATATCTAGCGGGGGACCAACCTCTTTGCTTACCCATATGTTATCACATATGTAACAATAAAACCAATTTCAAGGATTTTATCGCGTTTAATTTGAACCTTTTTTTTCCCTGGCGTTTCGAGTGCAATAGAGTTAAAATTCACTCCGCCAGTCACCATGGGAGCTGACAAGCACACGAAACTAGAAAAAAACAAGTAAACAAATTCTTGATTTAGTAAAAAAGTGGAAGTTCTGCAAGAGGACATACTCTTTTTGATGGTAAGAGCCAGTTGGCACATAAATTCAAAAGATGCTAATTCGTCCATACCAGTCGGTAATGTGAGTGTCTCCAAGGCAAAAGTGAATTGTCATCACCCCTTACGACTAGGTGTTTTAGTGGAGCACTGGTTAAGTAAATATGGTCACTTTCTTATAAAAAAAAACTACAACCTTGTTATCATGGATAGCTCTGTGATACGATAGCTCTTCATCAGCCAAACAAATAATAAAAGGTCAAAAGGGCGCTGCCTCAACGACGCCATTTTGACAGTTGACATTATAGTGAATAATTTAGTCGATTTTAGTAATGTGTAGTGTAGTTAGTTTTTTTTTAAGTTTATTTTGCGAAGTGTTTCTAATTATTGCCAAACCTTGTTTGCTTTTATATCTTATTATATTAGTTATAGTATACGACATAATGTTTTTTCTCTCTCCTCCTTCTAGTTTTGGTTTTACAGGGCAACAAAGCTTAAGGTGACCATATTACCATCACGTTTTTAACGGTGGTAGAGCCACGCGGCAGCTTTCGCTGTTACACGTATGGGCCGGCTCGAGCCGGGTTGGTACCACGACCTCACAGAATACCCGTGTGAAGTGGAGGCTCTGCTTCTGCGTTTTGTCTGGTGAGTGCAGGTGCCCCCCCCCCCCCCCATCGACATGAACTAAATCAAAAACTACCCCAGGAGGGTACCAGCACCCCTGGAGAATCCCTCGCTGAGCATCCACGACCATGCTACTCCACTCCTGAGCGTGGGTGATCAGGTTGACCTGCGTATCCCACTGGCCCACGCCGCAAAAGAGAAAGCCGACCTTTTAGGCTCCCTTTTTGCGTCCAACTCGACACTTGATGATGGGGGGAACACACTGCAGACCATCCCGCGGTGTGAGTGCTCCATGCCGGATGTGCGGTTCACAAAGCGTTCGGTTCGCATGGCACTCCTCTCCCTGGATATTCACAAGTCGAGTGGGCCTGATGGAATCCCCCCAATTGTGCTGAGGACGTGTGCTCCTAAGTTGGCACCGGTTCTAACGCGTCGTTTCCGGTACTATTACTCCCTAGGCGTAGTCCCGAAATCATGTAAGACAGCTTTTGTCCACCCGATCCCTAAAAAAGGCGACCGCTCAGACCTGTCCAACTAAAGGCCTATCGCCATCACCTCCTTGTTCTCCAAAGTAATGGAATCCATTATAAATTAAATAAATTATTATGGAACACAATTAACGACATAACGCAATTAAAAGCCCTTAGAATTCCTAGCTCTAACCTTCTTAACCTAACACAAAATCCTCTGCAATCAGTCAACCAGGTCAATAGCTTCTTTTCGGAAATAGGTAAATTTCTCGCCGAAGCTATTATCAATGATGGAAACAACCAAACTTTAACTAACTCAGTTATTTCTGACACGCATTTTCTTTTAATTCACTAACTTTGCTCTTAATTCACTATTACTCTTAATTACTCTAACTTGCTCTCTTTGCTCTTAATTCACTAACTTTGTATTCTAATCTTTGTTCCCACTTTGGTTTATTATATTTCATTTGTTTGTCCTTTCCTAGAGGGTTATCAACTTGTACAGGTATTTCAATTTTAACTCCGTTGAGCTTTGCTGAAGTCCACGCTGCACAGTATACTAAATCCTAAAATGTATTAAACACCTCAGTCCCCCGTGACCACGGGTGCTGGAAAGCACCCGAAACGTCGGGAATATAAAAAAAAATAAGTTAATATACGCGATAAAATCCGTAAAATTAGTTTTAATTAAAAATGTGTAGTGTTCGCGTAAATATAAGAAATCATAAATGTATTAAATTCAATATCGCTGTTGATGTATTCTGGCAACAAAATATTATTCACATAGGCGACTATCTTACTTAATTTTTTTGATGACCTCTGCTTTGGTATAAATTGCCTTTCAGTTTTGTATTAGCATAAAATTCTAAAGCTTTAGCAAACATTTCATCTATAGCAATTATCTTTTCTCTGTAATGTAAATTTTCATTTTCATTTTCTGTGTGGTTTTCTGCATTTAAATGTAAACTTTCTGTATCTGTTTCTTCGTTGTTTGAGATACTTATCTGAAGCATTGAGTAGTCATTGGCTTGTATATCGTTATGTTGTTTTTGCAAGTCATTCTTAATTATTTCTAAGCGGTCAACACTTAAATATTTGTTCTGTAAAATTAATCGTCTTTGGTCAGCTAGTCAGAATTGTTTTATAAACTCTTGGTGTAAGAGTTTCCTATATGCTATTTTATTTTTCTCACACTGAGTTACTTTATAGTAAATTCTTATTGTAGCTTCATTGTATTCGTCTGTCCATTTCATACGTTGTTGTGTTTGTTAAGGGTGGGTATTAGTATGACGATTGTTCTGTGTAACAGAGATGGATTGGGGAAATGTAGTCTGTAAGTTTGATTGTACTTCAATATAAATTTTGTTAACTATTTCTTGGGACAAAAGTTTATTATTCATTATTGCTCTACGCTGATCTCCTAATCTTTGACGAGTTACCTGCATATCTGGGAATGGTTCTATGAATTTCATGTGTAATGGTTGTAAATAACCTTCAGTGTCAGTCTCCATCATTGTTAAATAGAGGTAAGTACGCAATATGAATTCATTCATTTCAGAAGTCCATTTCTTACGCGTATTACGTTTACTGATGGTGGGCACAGGTTCCATAACAGAAGTTATTTTCTGTGCATCATCCTTCAGCAATTGGCTACTTGATGATGATGAGGAAGGTAAAGACTGGTGTAAAGTGTATGGCTTTGATTTCTGCCCATCATTTTCGGGGGTATATAAACTATCAGTATCACTAAGAGTGTCGGTGTCCGTAGATATAGCTTGTGTCGTTTGACGGGAAATCTTCATCGCCCGGAGATTGTATGCGCCCCAAGACACAGCACCACCTCGGCTTTCGTCAGAGTCGATATGGTTACTGTATCTGCCGGGAACTGGGGGCCGTAGTTTACGTCATGCACTCATATTTTTGTTCAGCTTGGTTTTGGATCGTTAGTTTGGAAAAGGGTCTTTAAATATTAATAGGCAGATAGATAATCCTGGCTTATTATTGCTACACAGTATAGTTGTTCTGGCTGCAGTTTAGTACATGCTTTTCCCTTAAGCCCCCTCCCCCCCCCCCACCACGACAAGGTGATCCCATGGGGGGTTATTATTATTATTATTATTTTGGGTTATCTATAAAGTCTTCTCATATGGTTGGGCTGTATAATTATATAATTGTAAATAAAAATGATAAATATACATAAATATCAACAAAATAAATTATTATTATTATTATTATTATTATAAACTGCCAGCTCATGCGGTAGCTTGAAAGTCTTGAGCTAATTAGTGACCGCTAATACGGTTTTCGTCGTGGTCAATCAGCTGGTGATCTTCTGATCTCCCTGACTCAAATGGGCGGAGGCACTAGAGTCAAAGGGGGAGGCATTGCCCGTTAGTAATGTCCAACATTGCGAAGGCCTTCGATCGGTTTTGGCACAAATTGCTTCTTTCGCAGCTCCCTTCCTATGGGCTTCCCCAGATATTGTGTAATTGGATCACCAGCTTTCTTGCAGATCGGAGCATCAAGGTCGTTGTAGACGATGCATGCTCCAACTACAAGCCTATTAACGCTGGTGTTTCACAAGGCTGTGTGCTATCACCAACGTTGTTTCTTCTGCATATCAATGATATGTTGCAAACCAGTAACATTCATTGTTATGCGGATGGCAGCACTGGTGATGCTGTATACAGCGACCGTGCCAATATTTCTCCGGAAAACGTCGCGGAGTACCGGAACAAACTTGTGTCTGAAGTCGAGTCTTTGCTGAACAAAGTCTCTGATTGGCAGCGACTAAATCTAGTCCAGTTTAATCCTCAGAAGACACAAGTTTGCGCGTTTACCGCTAAAAGAACCCCTTTGTCGTATCTCCTCAGTTTCAAGGCACTCCCCTTGTTGCCTCAGCCAGTATCGGAATCCTCGCCGTCGACATATCGAGTGACGTGCAGTTTCGTTGTCACTTGGAAGAGCAGGCCAAATTGGCCTCTTAAAAGCTTGGCGTGCTCAGCAGAGCGGGACAGTATTTTATGCCGGCACAACGCCTGCAACTTTACAAGGCGCAGGTTCGGCCTCACATGGAATACTGTTCCCATCTCTGGGCTGGGGCTCCCCAATGCCAGCTCCTTATACATGACCACATCCAACGCAGAGCGGCTCGAATTTTCGACGACCGAGTCTTTTCCGATCGGCTCGATTCATTGCATCCCTTTGCATTTTCTTTCGCATTTACCACGCGGAGTGCTCTGAGGAATTGTTCGAATTAATCCCAGCCGCCAAATTTCACGAACCTACATCGCGGCAGAACTCCCGATACCATCCACACCATCTGGATGATTGGCAGTCCACCGCTGAGCGATTTAGAAGATGTTTTCTTCCTCGCACAACTTCCTTGTGGAATCGATTACCACTAGCGATTTTTCCGGACCGATACGACTTAGGGACCTTCAAGATACTCCTTTTTAAAAGGCCGGCAACGCATCTGCAATTCCCCTGGTTCCCCTGTGTTGCAGTTGTTCATGAGCGGCGGTAGTCACTTACCATCAGGCGAGCCGCATGCTCGTTTATCCCCTCTCCTATAAAAAAAAACGTACCTTAAGCAAAAATGTTTTTTACTTCATCTAAGATATAATTTACCAAAATGTAGTACAGACAATTTGCTATAAGCTCCATGAGTACTTGTTAGTATCTACTAGACCTTTGGAAAGTCTAGATATTTTACTATCTAATCTTATCTATCGCTGTTGACAACTTCAAATTTTAAAGATAGCCATCGCTGTGGTCGACAGGAAAATAACGACATTAATATATAGATTGCGGGTTATAATAATAAATAAATGAAAGACATCTAATGGTTGCATCAAACGTTTATTCAGTATTTAATAAGTTTCGGACACTTTTTACTATTGCATTTATCCGTTTGTTATCGCCGTTTTCGTTTATGACCTTGAAAAAGAAAGGTTAAAACCTCTATTTAAAATTAACGCTTCTGGAAGAGCTGGTTTGGATGACTGATATTGACATGGACGGATTATTGTTCATGTAATGTAACAACACATTGAATAAAACTAATTTGACGGATCTCATTTTAACTCTATTCGCTTATGTTTCGCGCGCTTTTTAAAACCATGATCACATGATCAAAACGTCTAGGATTAAAAAAAAATGCGCGAGCGTGTTGGATCACTCGGTTGGAACGAAATTCCTTTCGTAGTATATTATTATTGATAAACGTATATATTATTGATTAACAAATACAAAATAAATAAATAAATTACTAGCGACTATTAAAATGAAGCGTCATGTAAAATAATATTTCTTTTATGAAAGATAAGAAACTGTGTAAGGAAGATGGATATTATTCCATCTCGCTCGCACTATAGAAAGGGGGTCGTGACGGAAAAATTTTATACTTTTTCTCGCCTAGCTCCCATCCCTCAAATTCGTACCGTGCGATAAGGAACTTCGTTCCAAAAAAAAAACTATATAATCTGTAAAAATACTTGTGTTAAAGACTATTGTTCGTTATGCGTATAGCTTATGAGTCTCATACCAACACAAATGATAGTCGGCGGACTGCGTACCTATGTAGGTACTTCACTTCACTGTCACTTCTTTACAATGCTCTCTTTAATCCTTCCTATTCTTCTTATTTTAAGGATCGCTTTGAATTTCTTCACTATTCCCATTCTAAAGTTTTGAGATCAAAATTTAATATTAAAAATGCCTGGCCATAATACCAAATATTTGCACAGGTCGTTTATTACCCAAGCAGTCCGTCTATGGAATACGTCCTACCCACAGTACTTTTTTATATATAGGAACCCCTACCTACTGGCCCTACCTCTGTCAGCGAGACGCGCCCAGTCTTTATCTGATTTTCAGAAGCTTGTATGGAATCACTATCTTAATAGTGAAGCTCTACAGAAAAGGTTCAGAATAAGTAGTACAAGCAAATGGCGAAAAAAAATTAATTAAAAAAAATCTCAAACGTTCTGTCCTTTTTATCTTTTTGATTTTACTGCGCACGCACACATTCGTAAGGGTCGATCGGTAGGCAAAAAGGTTGTTGCCCATAAATCACATTCAATTTGGGATAATCTATATCTATACAAATAAATAAAATTGAAGTGTCTGTTTGTAATGTCAAAATTACAGTTTTTTACTAAATGCATATAAAAGTAAATACGATACCTATAACTAAAATACAATTTTTAAAATTTTTGTCTGTCTGTCTGTCTGTCTGTCTGTTTGTTCCGGGTAATCTCCGAAACGGCTGGACCGATTTTGACGGGACTTTCACTGGCAGATAGCTGATTTCATAAGGTGTAAAATAGGCTACTTTTATTTTAGTAAAAGAATCAGGGTTCCGCGCAGAAACATAAAAACACTAACACGCGAACGAAGTCGCGGGGAACAGCTAGTTTCAAATAAAAGCCTTATTTCGTGGTATTTTCAAAAACTGCAATAGCGGTATATTATTATTTATATGTTTGAACTTAAGTTTAAAATTTGGCTACTGTTTGAAAAATAACCCTGTATATGTTTATTTATTTCTAAATACTATTTAATATTTAGAAATAAATAAACATATAAATAAACATATTACGATTGCAACCAGCAGTGGCAATAATAGTTTTTGCTTTTATTACTAAAACAACTTAAGTAATATGATATAAATTACGTTATTACCATTTGCTGTAGACACCTTTATATAGCTACAAATAAAAAAAATAAACAATATGTATACCAACAATAAAAAAGAACATATTGCATGGTTTTTATAGTTTGTTATATAAATATTCCTCTAATAATAAATTAACAAAAAAAGATTCCATTAACGTACGTTTAGTGATTGTTCTCTTTAACTTATGTAAACATGGCATAATTATATATAACTTAGTAAATGTCTTTGATGATACCCAATATGTCTAAATAGTGTATAATCTCTAAGTATTACACAGTCTATAGCTGGATGTGAGCCTCCATTTAGAGAGGACTTGTATTTACCTTTGCTACGCTTGGGGACGCTGGGTTTGCCGATTACAGAACTAAACATGCTACAATTACGAGGGGCGTTCAGTCTATTCTCGGTATTAGGGAAATTTGCTAATAATGTGGGTAATTAAAAAAAAATCATTAAATAATGACTCTACCGAAGGATATAAATATTAAATTTAGTCTTGATAACTTCATTATTTCTTTTGTAACCTTCAGTCATAGACGACGGGAATGACTGACTCGACAATGTTGAAAAAAAACGAACACCGTGCGGTGATAAAATTCTTCACTAAACAAGGAAAAACTCAAAAATACCTCCATAAAGAAATGGTGGCCGTTTACCAAGACTCTACTCCTTCAATGTAAAGCGTACAGAAGTGGTCAAGTGAATTAAAAAAAGGCAGGGAAAGTATCGAAGATGACCCCCGCCCGGTTGGGGCGTGTCGTGGGCCAATCACAGCGGCTACAGAAGAAAATGTGAAAATTATTGAAAAACTTGTATGAGAAGATGCGCGAGTCGTAAGAATTAAGATGTTAACAGAAATGACTAACTTATCCGATGGTATCATACGCACCGTATTGCATGACTATCTCAACCTCACAAAAGTCAGTGTAAGATAGGTGACCCGAATGCTCACTGCGTTTGAAAAGCGCGGGTTGATTGTTGTAGAGAGAGTTTTTAGAGCTGTGTAGTCACGACCCAACAAGTGTTTTAGATAGGATAGTTACAGGAGATGAAACGTGGGTTCACCACAATGACCCTGGATATAAACACGAGTGTATGCAATTGCATAAAAAGGGATCAGAC